GGCAGATGGACTGGGCTGTCTTGGCAGCAAGGGAAAGATTAAAAAAAACTCCACCAAAACTTTAGAAGTTTTGTATCCCCGATTAGCTATCTTTGTTTTATATGAAATAGGTTCCAGCATCAGCACTTCCCGCGCCGGCGGAAGTACTTCCCCCACTCACTCGCACTCGCGACCTCTGCTGGGGCTGTTTCCTTTGCCCGCGGGGGGCGCCCCGGGCTCCCGGGGGTGACACGTGCGGTGTCACCGGCCTGCCCCCGACCGGGGACACGCGCGCCCCCCGCGCGCGCTCCCGCCATCCCGCCCGGCAGGTGCGCCGCGCTACGCGCCAGACTCCGCCCATCCGCCCCACCCAAGGCTCGCTCGCCCACCCAATGGCGTCAGCGCATGCAAATGAACTCCCCGCCCTCTGCCCGGCCCTCGGGGCCGCTCTCCGGTGACGCCACGCTCGCAAAACAAGCCGGCCGCGCGCCCCGTCCCGCACCTCGCGCCAGCTCCCGCGTGTCGCGCAGCTCCCGCTCCTTGTCGCGCAGCCGCCGCACGTGCGCCGCCAGCTGCGGCGCCGCCCCGCCCTCGCCCCGCGCGCGCGCCTCCAGCAGGCGGCGCAGGGAGGGCGCGGCGAACAGCTCCTCCAGGCCGGGCCGTGCGCTCAGCCCGCGCCGCGCCGGGAGCCGCCATCCCACCGGCGCCGCCCGGAGGCTCCGAGGGGGCAGTGCGGCCGCTCGGTAGCCTTGCGCCGCGCGGAGAGCCCGCGAGAGCAGCCGCATGTCTGGCTGGGGCCGGAGCGTGGCCGCCCTCCCGTCGCCCGGGCGTCACCGCCGTTCCGGAGACGCCCGAACGCGCTTGACAGCCTCCCTTCCGGATTTCCGGAAGTTGCCGAAGAGACTCGGCGCTGGCTTTGGGCGCAGTCGGAAATCATCGGGTGTCCGATGGCGGAAATGGCCGAAGGGGTTCGGCTTCCCTCGGCTCGTGCTGTCCCGCAGTGGGGCAGGCGGGCTCTGATTGGCCAGCGCTGATGGGGCGGGGCTCTCCCTCATGGCCCGGCTGGGCGCCCCGAGCGCCCTCTGCAGTGCCCAGAGGGGCGTGTTAGTCATTCTGAACCAAAAAAAAAAAACCCAAAAAACCCCAAAAAAACCACTTCAAACCTCATAAAATCCTCCGTACCCCAAGCCTGTAGCCAGACTTCTGAGCAAGAGCCGCGGGGGTATTGAGGTTTCTACTGGAGCGGTTTAAAGTCTGAATAGGTAAAAGTGAGGTTGATGGGGAGTGTGAACTGGGGCTTTGGACATCCGAGTTACTGTCACAGACATTCTCCCTCCAGAAGAAATCTTCAGAATTAAAGTATGCTGGGGAGGACCGTGCAAAAATTGTGGAAGGATGTCCCTGTACTGAAAGCAGGTGCAAAATGAAGCATTTAGAGAAAAAGAAATGAATTGTCAGAGGAAGCAAAAAGGGCAATTCTAAGTGCCTTCACGTCAGAAATTAGCGGTAAGACTAAACGACAGCCCATTTATACAATACAGATCTGAGTACAGTGTTTTACATGAAAGTTTCAAGTGGGAAAGCAGTGAGGATGTAGCCATTTAGGAACTATGTGTTCTGGGGTGATCTGGGCAAATCCATCCTGAAATGCAGACTGAGTGCATATTACCTTGTTTTAGATAACATCGTTAGTGAGATTCTTGGCTAAACTCAAAACAGTTTCAAGATTATATTTTATTATAAAATTGTGCAGCTATCCATAAAATTTCATTAGGATTGTAATTTTGTATTACAATCATTGGAGGAGTCAGAGTTCTGCCCTTGCCCTCCTTCTGTCCTTGTTCATGTCTTACCAGAACCAGGCTATCATATCTTACAACTAAATTACAGTGTTGGAATAACAGTTACTTCCTTATGAAACATTAGTAAATTGTTATTTTCTCAAATGTAATATCAAAAGCAAGAGTAATTCTTGAAAACCTAAGTAGTTCTGGTAGTCAGAAAAGAAAACGTGGAAGTTTTTGTTCTGTGATGGAAATCCAAAAGCCAGTGTGCGAGTTTGTTATTCAAAATATTAGACATTAAAATGAATGGTTAGATAAAAATGTTTTCCTATGATTTTAAGTGCACAGGTTTGGACAAGGTGTATTGGCAAAATACAGTGTAGCAATCATTTACAGTAAAAGTCACACTGAAAGATCTTTGTGAAGAATGTACAGTCTGTGTGAGTTGTCTGGCACTGTTAAAAACCCCAGGCCATCACTTATGAAATGTCACCCACCAAAAGCTTCCTTTGCACCCTTTCCTACTGCCTGCCCATGAAGCTCCTTAAGTCTTCTTCCAGAAGCATAAAAGAAAAATTATCCAAATTATGCTTTAGCAGACAAAATATTTTGATGTTCTATAACAATGAATAAGCATCTAACTGCTGTGTGAGCCTAGCTTGTGAAGAGACCTATGGAAAACTCAGGAAACTTAGAGTAAGGGGTAATTTAAGAAAAAGCTTTTGAGAAAAAAAAAAGAAAAATAATCTGAGTCAATGACTGATGATCAGCCTTTGAATCACCTGAATCATATCCCTGTTTTAAATGAGAAGGCTGGATTTCCACAGGGTGAGTTCTTGGATAAAGGAAGGGGCAAAATCAGGCTTTTGGTGTAAAGTTAAAATAATATGCAGCCACTGTTTCTGTCAAGTCTTTGTCCAACTGATTTTGGCACTATTATTGCTTTATTCTTTCATCCCACCAACATCACTTGTGCTATTGGCAGAAGTATGCAGGACATGTTCGAACAGGGCTGATGCTTTGTCACTGCAAATGTACTCAGGATATTGGTAAACAGGATGGGACTTTTGTCGCTGTGTCCGAGTCCCAGGATGTGCTACAGTGCTACTCTTGGGTCCCTTAAAAAGTAACAGCATTATAGGCTGAGAAAATCCCTATTTGGAAGTTGACAGACACGATTCAGATCAACTTGGAGGAGACATTGCAGCTATCTGCCTGTGTGCAACCTTAATTTTTTTCTTTCTTGGATTTAAGGGCTCAGGCTCTATTGACTGGGTCAACAATGCCAGGAGTGGGCTTAGACATTGTGGAAATACAGACTTTGCTCCTTGTGGTGTAGAGAGTTGCTCAAATTAAAGACTTTCTTGTATCAGCTTTGACTGCTTTTGAATTGGTGTTATGGAACTTCTGCTAAATGGCTTTTGCAACCACTTCCTGCATATGGAAGTTGTAGGTTCCTAACCAGGCTCACAGCATGGTCAGTCCAGCAAGCTGCTCTTACTGAAAAATCCCCCACCTGATTTTAGATATTGGCTCCTTGTAATTGAGTTTGCTGCCTAGGGAATCAAGTTTAGCGCGAGATGACATGTTAAACCCTGGCTGCTAAAGCTAGACTGTAGTTCTCCTTTATTTGCTCGGTTTAGACCGCAGCCTAGCAGCGCTTCAGCATGCTTTTAATTTAAAAAGTAGCAGTTGCTAGCTGAAGTGTGGTTTGTATCCACTTTCTGTTGTCCTGCAAATGAACTAGTGGACTCCACAGGTACTCAATTGAGCTATGGGCTGCCTGTGGACCTGGAGGTGCTATGACTGCATTCCCATAGTACCGTGCCATAGCCGTTTAACCTGCAGCCCAGCCACCTGTGTCAGCAACCTGTCTTTTCTCCATCAAACCTTGAGTCTCCTTCACACCACATGTGCCTTCAGGCTAATTGAATGCTCATGATACTGTCTGTGAGTTTTGCTTCATTCTGGGTATCCCAAATTACTTTAAGCTCGGTTATGTGAAAGCTGGCTGTAAACGGCTAAATTGAACACGTGTGTAACACAGTATAGATTGAGTTTCTTTTCAACCTAAAGGACAGGAGGGTTCAGAAGTGTTCTGCTTATTTTTGCCTTTTTGGCATTAGGTTCTATCTGACAGGAATTTAAAACACCGGGCAAAAGTGACAAAAAACATAGCTCACTTTCTGTAGTGCACTTGCTATATACATTCTTATGAAAAACTGAAATACAAGTTAAATACATACTTATTTTATTCCAAGCTATAGAATAAGTGTATTTAGGCAGTTTTTCAAAGTGTATTGTACACTGCATGCACAATAAATCAGTTTAATAGCTTGACTTTTTTACAGTTTGTGTTCAAAGAACTATATGATAGGCAATGAGATCATGTTACTTATTGTCCATTTGGACCACATCCATTTTTGTCATAAAAAAATTTGGGAAATCCAAACCAATATACGAAATGTATATTAAATGTTTTAATGCAAGCATTTGCTCCAAGAAAGAAACTTTACATGCTATGTTCAATTTTTAAATCCTTCTCAACAGAGGATTTTAGACAATAAACTTTTAAACGTGATTTCATTGCAGTATTACACTGGAGATTGGTGTAATATTTTTCAAAATTATGTCACAGTTTCCAAATACAGATTTTGGAACCTTATGCTAGAAATCAAGGTAATATTTTAGGGCCTGCACACCTAGCTTTAAACCTGTCTTGAAATGATGACTTGTCTGTGTTGACAAGAAGTTCTACCTGTGTGAAATATCTTATAAAGATAGCTTATGACTAGCAGGTCACCATCAAATAGTAACATTAAGAATATTCAAGTCTACATTTGTCAAGATTTATGCATGCAGTTTTGTCTCTTACACATTGCTTAGATGTGTGCACTAAATGTGTTGTGCCTCAAACACCAAGAACTTGAAATTACACTATGTAAATATATACATATATGATGCTGTATATGTTTAGTACCAAGTAAATATAACTAATCAGATGATACTAGACATATGTAGGACCATAGTTAAATTCCAATTAAGAAAAAAGCAAGAAAAATTATTTTTTTCCTAACAGCATTTCACAGTAGAAGGAGGCAGTCCTTTTTCACTGAATTTTCCCCCCTCAGGATTTGTAAACATCATAGCTCATATTCTATCAGTATCATAATTGAATATTTTATTCATAATGGTAAGTAGCTAACCAACATGAATGAAGTTGTCATAACACGGTAGCACTTTCAGACAAAACAGGTATTTATTAAAAGAAACATTTATAAATATTTTGTCTTGCATTTTAAACTACATTTTCATAAATAACAATATTTAAAAGTGCTGAATATGGTAGGATAGTCAGCAATGCCACTGTAAACAGATTTGTTTTTCCACTTTGCGGATTTTTGTTTTAGATCCCATTTTGTCAAACACTACAACAGTTAAAATATTTGCATAGGGAATAGAGAATAGCCCTTTTAATCATCTCCTGAATTCTATATAAATTACAAAACCAAATCAGTTTAAGAAACAGTTTGTTAAATTGTTCATATATATATCCAAAAAAAGCACACAGGTTTCAAGTAAAAAGAATGACTAAAAAATTCCCCAAACCTGCTATCAGAAGCATGTTCAATAAATTAAGAAAATGAGAGGTAGTAAAACAAAGGGAAAAAAATAAGCCCCAGAAGATAAACTAAGACCTGCATGCTCCCAGTTACGGTGCCACAGCAGACCTGCCTCGGCAGCAGCAGCTCCCGCCAAAGCCGGCACCGGAGGCTGCCCGCAGGGAGTAACTGAGGGCTTGGAGCCAGCTGTGCTCAGGCCAGATTCCACTCGAGGACACAACTGCCAGACCTTGCAGGCAATCGAAAGCGATGGGCTCGTGCCATGTTTAGTCCTACGTAAGTGAGAAGAACCTTGCCTCTGAAGTCTTAGTATGGTTGTCAGTATTAAATATATATATATACTCACACAAACATTATATATATATATATATATTTAACAAGTATTCAGAGCAATTTCTTGCTGTATCTTTAGCAGTTTTTGAGGGATGCTAACACTCATTTTGCTTGTGTATGGTGGGTATGAAGATGGGGTTTTTTTAAGTTCCAAGTCACTGTCTCTTTAAACATCAAAATGTGTCCTGAAACTGGACATTCTTTGATAAAAAGGCCAAGCAAACACCTATTAAAAACACCATGGCAGCCTAGTGATGGGAGTACTGTGCTGCCTTAGCTATGATTAAGGGCTCAGTACCGGAATCTTTACCCAGGAAAGATACCCATTGTGTTTCTCTAGGCATTTTGCTTGGGTAAGATCTGTGGGTTTAGAAGCCCTTGAAGTTTGGTTTATATTACTCTCCAAACCCCTTGTTTTCAAGGAGCTGTTCAAAATCAATGAGGCTAGAAGCTAAGATAAGTCTTCTTTAACCCGCCACCTCGTAAAACGTTACTTCATTTAAAAACATTTTTTACCGGATTTAGCTTTCAAAAAAAAGTATCTTACAGAACAGATGCAGTTCATCAAAATGTTCTAAAATGCTCTAAAATGCTACATGTAGGCAATCTTTTATTAAATTTCTTTATTCAAAAAACTAAATTATCAAGCTTTTTGTGTTGTTTCTTGTTTCTTTTTTTTTTCTGAAGTACATAACATTATACAACAGTGTTAGAACTGGATAGCCAGTCTTTAATAAATCAATTACAGTATCTGACATCTGAAATGTACATTGAAAATCTTTGTTCTTTTGACAATTAAACAATATCAGCGCATAGATTGTGTCACCCAGAAATGGATCCCTTTAAGTGATTTGTGCTTTTTTTTTTCTCCTTTTATTTTTCTTTTTCTTTGACATTGCAAACTCTGTAATGAAAATGCCACAGTTTTGGCAGTGAACAACCAGAGGAATCCTCCACTTGATTTATTTTAAATAAACAGTGATAAATAGCTCTTTTTCTCTGTACAGAAATATTGGCTTCAAAAAGTCAGTGTATTGTACTCAGTAGAGCATGTAGAGTAATGCTACACCTTAAAAATTGGCTTTTTAGTTAGTGATGTTAAAAAATGCAAGCCTCTTTCTGGTTTGCTGTAACTGTTTCTATGTACCATAGGACTGTATTGCACAAAAAAAAGTTTTTAAATACAGCTATAATTTATATTATTGGATTAAATATTGCAACAACTAAGTGGTAAGTGAAGCAGTTTTACCTTGCACATGCAGTGTGAGGATACACAAGGAGATTGTTCATAAAACTACAAATACATCATTGCAATCTTGACTGCAGTAGGGTGAAAGGAGTGTGAAATAAATGTATTTTGGCAAATCCATTGATCCCCTCCCACGCCATCTTGAGCAAGGAGGACCTTGGTAAAAATGTAGACAGAGACCATAATATGTATTTTTTTTCTTCACAGTAGCCTGAGTAGTGCTAAACTGTAGTTCTCCAGGAACCCAGCTCCAGATGTTACTAAACTAATTTTCTTCCATCCCACCCACCCAAAAAAACAAAAAAAAATCAAGTTATTTTGTTTGAAAATTAAAACTAAGTTTCAGAAGTAGAGCCTGTAATACTTTCAACGAGAGACTTATAAATCTGAGAGTTCAAAAACCTTGGAAAAGAGTCTCTGTGCATCAAAGTGTATATCTGGAGCTGGGCATCTTCATACATGTGAGGGCTGGGATCCGACAAGTTTCTGTTGATCACTTCTCTCACCCGGGAATCAAGACTAACCTGAAGAAGATGAGCACAGAATAATAAAACAATAACATTGGAAAAACAGTAATATGTCTCTATTTCTCAGGGCTCCATTGAACATGCTGAGTTTATCAGTTACTCAAGTAATGCTTTGTGCTTCTTTCAGAACCATCACACAATTACTGAGTAATGCACTGAGACCATCACCTCTATTTCAGTTTTGACTTGGTCTTTGCATCCCTCTTAAGATCTGTGCAATGAAATGCAGCTGTATAGCAGATTAATGCAGTGCAACTGCAGTTTTCCAAAACATATTGTTTTACCTTAAAAAATAATTTGTTTGCATTTAAAAATGTTTCTCTGAAATGGATGTTGAATTACCCTCGTTCAGAGAGCTGCAGGTTTTTTTTCTGAGCATTTATGGTTAAACTTTTAGAAGATTTCTATTCATCATTCTTATCTGGCTGCACTAGAGATTTTTTTTTCTGTTTCTTTTTCAGGCACTACATTTGTTCCTTACAAATTACCCACGGATTTTTATAATTTTTATTGTGTTGATCTCCCCATTATTATTAAATATTTCTATCAGATTTTTTTCTTCTTGTCAGAACTCTTTAACATCTGGTAATTCGTACTTTCAGGAGATCATATATCCATATAAAGTTGTTAGCAAGTTTCAGTTTTAGCTTCTCATTTACTTACCATTTGTGATGAACTCCTGTGCCTAGGCATGCAGAAAAGGGCATATTATGCTTGGGATGAAAGCCCAGATGATTTTAGAATATCCTTTAGAAATTTGAGTGAATGTACAGTTTATCCATAAGATGCTATAAAACCTAGTAAATTAATGCGTTCTGGATTAAAGGAAATGGCAGTAGCAGCAAGGCCCACTGGGACCAGCAAAGGTTTACTCAGCTAAGAAGAAAAGGGCTAAAATCCTGAGTAGATAAATGCCAAGAAGAGATCAGTTAAGAAACTGTGATTTACACCAGGTTGCAATCTGACCCTACTGCTCTGCAACTCTACAAAGATATTCATACTGTCTGAAGGGTTGATTTCAACCTTGATACACAAAGGATGGTAACCAAGATGAAAACTCAGAATATGTTTGGATGTGTGAGCCTGTGCTTTCATACTTGGTGAAACAAAGTCTTTGAAAAATGCTGGTGTGTTGTGGTGTAGTATGGTACAGCACTGAGAAGTAAATATACATTTTCATTCTGTCTTCACTACCAGCTGTAGAATCTGGCACTGTTGGTTTGTTGGCGTACTGGATTATGCTACTGACAGAGCAGACAAGCTTTCTCCTCTAATATTTGCTCTCACTTGGTTGTCAGTCACAAGGTACAACTATGAGAGACCAGTGGTGCTGCTCAGCCAGTGAGTGTAGGCAGGAGTACAGTACTATGGCAGTTTTGCGTGGCAGTGTTGCAACCATGTGCCTTCAGAATGTGTTTGAATAGATTTCAAGCCCAAACCATTGCATTTCTACAGCACAGAAAGGACACTAAGATTTAAGGAATTTGCCCCCTGACACCCAGGCACACACATTTATATCAACAAAAACAGTTTGTGCAGCTAATTGTTTCTTCAATATCAAACATAATAGCTGGGATAAAAAACCCCTCAAATTTGGCAGGATAGAGGGGTTTTGAGCCACTGAGCATAATAAAAGTTAATTGCACTCAGAGAATGTGAAAACCAAAATTAATTATGGAACTGTTAATTTGCATTGTATTTTTTCAGTGACTCACTAAAGCCAGATGGCAAAACTAGTTGTAATTACCAAAGATATTTTTTTGCTTAACAGATAAATACCAAGTATCTGTTTAGAACACTAAGACCTTCTGCCTCAATAACTTCTTTACTGTACCAGTCATGCTAAATATATCAGCTCTTCTGCCAAAAGGTAACATCTGGATAGGGATGCCTGGATGAACAAGAATTTTTCAGTTCCCATGCTATTCTAATGCATTGCAAACAGTTCTTTTTTGCCTCCTAAGATTTCCAGTATGGGCAGGAGCAACCGGATTGATGAGATTTGTATGCATCCAGTGCACCAAGTTTGTGAGTAGCTTTGTTAAACAATGCTTGGTTAGTGTTTGAATTTTAAATGCTGAATGGCCTTAGCTTAAAAAGACAAATGAGCATTCATCACATACCTATCTGGTAAAAATACAGAAGAATATTAGAGTAAAAACTTATTATTAGCTTGCTGTATTGGCAATTGTATTTCACTCCAAAGCAAAAGTAGATACTATGGCACAAGAGAAGATAATGGAGCTATAATTCACTTTTGACTTCATTCATATGAATGAAGTTGCAAATTATTACTGAATGTAGTGAAAAAGTAAAATGTAGGAAGGAAGTTCCACAGTGAGCATAAATTAGCATAATGCCATTGAGTAGAAATTCAAATGCACTGCACAAAGATAAGGCAAAGAAAAGTACATGATGTGGCCTAAGAAAAACTCTATAGTGCTTATATATTTATGTATCTCTTTGTACAATAAAACATGGATTGATAGGGATGCTTTTTCTTTACTACAGGTGAAGATAATTTTAAAATTTTTCTATTTCAGTTAAAGGGTTGAATAAAATCTTATAAAATTCCCTAGATATTATACATTTCACTAGATAAAATATGTCATCTTCATTCTTGGACTCTCACATAGGAATAACCAGTGGAAATTCAGATTTTCTCCTAGACAACTGTAGCAGCAGATAAATCTATAAAGATTCTGATTTAAATTCCTTCAGTTTGGTGCTTTTTCTCCAGAAATCAATTTGCATTTGCATTACTTATTTCCTCTCTCTGCCCAACATGTAGCATTACTAAAGAGGCAAAGCTATTTCTCAGCTTTCTCTTACTGGAGTTTCTTGAGCCTTATAGAGAACTTGGATGTGTTGTGGCTGGTAATGCTAAATGGCCCAGTCCCTGCATCTCTACTGTCTGTGTGCCTTCCTTTCCTGATTTAATGCTCATATTAAGACTTTCATCTGACAGACTTTCAGACCCTCACTAGGCAGTCCAGTGTATAACATTCCTGCTGGGATAACAGAAAATGCAAGTGTAGCATTTACAGCTTTACCTCTTTTGGTGATAGTATAGAAATGTAATCTTCATATATAAGTCTTGCTTTTTCTTCAATAACTTTCTTGTTCTGTTCCTTCTTTAGATCTTCACATGCAAGCCAGAAAAGCAGGTTCTCCTCACTATACTCCGTTCTAAGAAACTCTCTGAAAAGGTTCCTCCCAGCTGGTGTTTTCATCATCTTGTCAAAATTCTGAGCCCAAGACAAAATTTCATCTGCAGTAGGGTTTTGGCTGCAAAAGAAAATATCATTACAAATATGCTTCTATTTTTGTAGTGGTGTTTTCATATATTCATCCAAAAATTCTCCTTTTGACCCACTTTAGTCCAAGGTTTTCACCTTGGACTGAAAAAACTGGAAAGCAAAAAAAAAACTGGAAGCAAAAAAAACTTCAGCAATAACAGGGGAATTTTGTTTGCTCTTCACTTGTGCATTCATTATCCCAATAGCCCACTAAATGTATTTAATGTTATGAGACATGCACTTGACTTTTTATGAGTTTTCTGCTGGTGTTCTTAGCCAGGTGGCTCAAAGACAAAATCCAACAACAGCACTGAATTCCTGCCTCTGGAGTGAAAGGAGATTCCAGGAAGCTGGAAAGAGACTCTTCCGTGAAGAGTTTAGATGACACCTGATGTCCCTGCCTGCCTCTGATGGTGACTGTACACAATTTGGTTTAGGAGGAACAAGAAAAACAAAAAGCAGCCAAAAGCATACTAATGAGGCCAAACAAAGTAGTAATTCAGAGAGATTTTAAATTAGCATATTTCTGTGCTTGTACGTAAGGGTTGCTAAGCTTCCCTCTGTTTCATGCTATTGACCTGAATGATGATCTTTTGGCATGAGATGTGATGGATTTTGCTGGCAAAACAGGAAAGAGAAGAAATGGGGAAAAGTCCTTATTTCCATTTCCTGAAGGAAACTATTTCCTGGCTTTTACCAGTGGATGCACTGGGTAAGTGATCAGAAGACTTACTGGCATCAATTAATGTACCAATGAACAGCTTAAGAAAGTAATTCTCCAGATTACTTAGCAACAATTTAATATAGTTTCAAACTTAATTTTGAGCACTTGCCCTCTCATTCCTGATCAACACAAGAGCTTTACTAGCTGTTGTCATTACTGTTTGTGTTATCATGATGCACAATAAGTGACATTTGTCTATATAATTTCTGTTCAAGTCAATTTATCAACTCCTACTCTATATGCAAGGTAGACTGGATGATGGGAAGCTATTAGTGATAAATCACAATTTTTTTAACTGTAAAGTAATTGTAAACTGAATGAAAAAGTTTAAACACAGATTTTAAGGTGAACAGTCCTCTCAGGACTTTGCGCTCTCCACTGAGGAGAGTTCAAAGAACCTGCTGAGCTGAATGGGGCTGACAAACAACCTGGGCTCCCTTACTGTCTGTTGGGAAGCTCTTCACTATCGTATTTTACTAGTTACGATATTGCCTTCTCATAAAAGATGATGATTAACAATAAAGGCAATGAGTTTTTTGGGGTTTTTTTGGTCATCATATATGTCCTTTAAAGTTTGAATTTTCTTCTTATGTGATTACTCAGGTTCCCTGACAGATTACCATTTTTTCCCCACATAATGAACATAGGCCCAAGCTTTAGACAGAAGTAGAAGCTCAGACTTTGTGTGTTTAACCTGGTTTGCAAGGTATGTGGCTTTTTTTTTAATTTCAGTGAAACCATAGTTCAACATGCTTTATGAAAGGTAGCCACATTAAAAATCTGGTCATGAAGTACACTTGTGACTATTATTTTTTCTTCTTGTCTGGAGAGACAGGAAAAAGTGCTCTCACAGGCAGCAGAGGATTCTTACAGAGACCCACATATGGAACTGTCTATGCATCTTCCATTTCTCCCCATGGTTCCTCCCCACAGATAAGAAAATGTAAATAAACCTGACTTGAGAATGTCTCTGCTGTTATTTCATTGTCAGGACAGGTTTTGCTTCCTTTTGTATAGAATTTTTTGGAGGAAAAGCAATGAAAAAGACATTCCCAAAGAATAAAACCCAAGACAATTCTTGATATTAGTTAAGGACAAAACACTTATTAGATAACAGTTTGACCAGCTTACCATTCTTCTATGACCTGGATACTCTCCAGTTTGGTCGTATGTGTTGGCCTTCCTGCATTGTCTCCTCTATCTTCATTCCTAACAGTGAGGCTGCAATGTAGTACAACACTTTATTTTGTCTAGAGAAAGTTAATTTAAAACAATGAATGCAGTAATGCAAACTTTTAAAAGATATAGTCCTATATAGGGTATCATTTTTAACTCTTGTGTCTAAAATTTTGGAGAAAAGTTTTCATAATGACTTTTCCCCTGAACTATGATGAATATTAATTTACAGTTGCTATTAGCACATGCAGTGTTTTAGAAGCTCACAGTTTATCCACTGAAAGATGGGAAAATACTTAGAGGTCACTTTTGGAGTGATTTCACTTAGGTAACTGAGAATACTAGGAACAGTATGAGTAGGGGGGATATGAATATCTGAACTGGATATTGATGGGGCTTTGATGCCCCACCAGTTCTGGATAGTTTTTCAGGCTTTATGAATGTTCCCTTTTCTCTCTCCAAGATACAGTGGCAGTAGATGGCTCAGATTCAGAACTTAGCATGTGGCAGCTCCTTATGATTTCCTCTTCTGACCTAAATTTGTTTTCCATTCCAAAAAGTAAAACATACTGGCCTCTGAGCAGAAAGGCATCCATTACCCTTATATTACTACAAGCAAGGAAAAGAAAGGCTTCCTTTATGCAAGGATATTTTTAATGGTTTTTTGGTTCTTTTTAGAACTGCTAACTAGAATCACTTATTTTTTTGCAAATATCTTTTAAATCAGATTTGCTGTAGTGGTAAAGACTTCCTCTGTGTGTGTTCTCTGTGAATCTTCTCGAATAGGGAAGATTCAAACCCAGCAAACCCACAATTCCTGATAACTACTGAAATAAAGTATGTTTTGAGTGACTTAGATATTCATGTGGAAAACCTGGTTCTGACAATTCAGCTTAAGAAGTGGAATGTAGTAAGGAGATGGAAATTTCCTTTCATCAGGTGTTCCCTATGTGTCCGGTTGAGAGAAAACAAGAAACCAAGCAAAAAATCCCCCTTCTAATCTCAAGAGCTCATATTTTGAATATTAAGTATTCACCATACAATGATGGTCTCAGTCACTCTAAGTGTTGCTACAAAAATATGTTTGTAGCATAAAGCTTCTCCCTCCCGCACTAATCTAAATAACTCCTGCTCAGCTCTAAGAAGAAATCCCAGCTCTGAGACATCTCTAGCACAAATAATCTTCCTTTATAGGTTCTCTGCATTTATGAGTGCCTTCAACATTTTTTTTCAAGCATTTGGCAGAGCTAATAGGTATTCTCAAATACTCTTCTGAAACTGGAAGTTTAAGCTCCCAGGTAAAGCAGAGCACATATTAAGACTTAAACATTACAGAGACGTACACTTGCAAACGAAGCTCTTTGATACTGGTTGCTCCTTCACTTACCTGCCAAGACCTTAGTTCAGGCCCTTGGTCCTGCTTCCCCTGTTACAGCGTAGGAATGCAGCTCCAGTGCTGCTAAGGTTGTTAGGGTGTCATCAACTGCTGCAGGAGAAACAACACATCCTGAACTCTGGGGTTGGCAGGTAAAAAGCCTTTCTGTCTCCTCTGACCTGTTGTTCGTCAGTCTACAGAGGGAGCACCCAGGAAAGACAGAAAGGAGTTCCGTATACAGGAGGAGAAAAAAAAAAAGGGACCATCCATTTTCTTTCTGTCTTGTAATCTTTAAGTCCACACATGTAACTGCTTAGAGTCACCTTGCATCTGGCCAGAGCACAAAGTTGGAGTGAGGGAGAAGCGGGGAAGGCACAAAGCTCTCTCTCCCTGCCTCCCTCCCTCCTTCCCTCCTTTGCAGTCCATAGGTAGAGCAGCATTTGTCTTCTCTGCTGGGTGCAGAAAGCAGAGTGTCCTTTGGTTCCATGGAAGAATAATACCATGGAGGGAGGAAACAGCTTGTGTAGGTTGCGAATGCAATAAGGTGTTGAGTCTGCCTAAAAGAGAATGAAGCTGCCTGTTTTCCTTCCTCCATCACATGAACAGCAACTAAGCTGTGCTGAGATAATTTACTTGTCAGGTACTAGACATTCAAGGTTTGGATGCAGAGTCTTACTGGAAGTAGAAAGTGACTCATGTGAGAGCATTTAGTATACACTACTAATTTAATTTGTTGTCTGGGATCAAATACTGCTTGCTTTGTTCATGCAAAATCTCTGCTAGATTTGGGAAAACCATCATGGGTTGATGAAGGGGAAACAATGATAGTGAAGTAGTGAGTGGTGAAAAAGAGAAATAGGAATAGGAGCAAGAAGGCCATGTTGACTTCATTGCAATGTTTGTCTATCAAAGGAATAACTAATAGACAGTATGCACAGTATGCATTTTATTTTCATATTTTCCAAATGACAAAAAAAAAAAAAAACAATAAAAAGTTCAGATTGTGGGCCTGGAACATAGTATGCAGTTTTATGGTATGTATACCATAGTATCGATGCAAGGTACACACTTGGCCCTGATTCCGTCATCTCACCATTCATAACTGGAGTTTAATGGCTGAAGTTAGTCAGGGCTGCAAAACAGAGAACACTCCAAAGACAGAAGCTTCACACTGGGTTGGAACATGTTTGGGTATTGCATTTAAAACTGTGATACTTTTGTAATGCATCTTGGCCTATATTCTGCATTATGTTTCCTGTGACAAAACTAGCACTAAATTTCAACTTTTATTTATCTACATCTGTCAAGGCTAGAGTTCTATCCGATATATTACTTTTAATATGTTTTTCCAGTAAAGGAAACCATCATTTTTATACTCAAGTACACTCAATTCAGGTATGCTTGTTTTCACTCAAGGAACTGGTTCATGATCTCTTAGAAAAAAAATCAAATATTTAAGCATTTTTGACTGCAAAGCTAGCTTGAAAGCAGCCTTTAAGTAACTGATTACAATAAGAGATTGTTACCTTTTAACTTGAAATGAAAACACTGCACTGCTCTTTCCCATGTTGCTATATTCAGCTGGAAACACCCTATCTGTTCATGTTTCTCTATGGAATTCAAGCAGTCTGGGGCAGCAAAGGTGTTCTGCATACCTGAGCTGATGTCCTTGATATATTTATCCATCATTGAAGCTAGCTGTTTGTGTCAGAAGGATTTTGCTGTACAGCGTAATATTAAACAGACTAAAAGTAACAGGCTAAAGATTAAGAAAATTATCTTAGTTAAGGATTTAAGAAAAGGAAATTACTGATAGATCTCACCAAAAAGCAGTTAAATGAAAGGGAGGTGCACTAGAAAGACATCTGATGCAAATGAACGCCTTTGGTGTCATTAACATATTTGGTATTATTTATTAATTGGAATACACTCATCATAGATCTTTAAAATTTAGAGATGCAAATTACCCATGATAAAAGTACACCAAAACTAATAATGCCTTAAAAAGGGAGTTTGGGATGTCCAAAGGCAGAGTTTAAATGGAAAACACTAGTATGAGTTTGTTCTCTCTTTGTATGGAAGGTTTGTTCTGCCCACTTCTATGTTGATTTTATTGCTCTGGAGAGTACAGAAAAAAATACTTCAGTGGGCGGAGCTTGATGTACCTTTCAAATATATCTTAGGTTCCTGACTGCTACAAACCAATAAGTTTCTTGAACTACTGCAACAGTATTATTATGAGAAATTTCTGCTTGGAGTGAAGGTATTTCTACTTTGCAACTTCACAAGCTTTATAAATAAAAAAGTTAATGATCAGGGACTACTTGAAGAAGCATACATATTGAACAAATGACCACAAATAAGGGTAAGTCTGTCCAGGTTTCTAGCTGATGTGGTTTCGGGGGTACTGCTGGGATTTAGAAAACTGATATTTCTTTATTTATTTAGCTATTAATACTTGGCTGCTAATATTCAAGTTAAGCAATTAAGTGATTATTCTGTTGAGTAATTATATAGCTAAATCTGTATTGAAGCACCCTATTGCATGAGAAGATAAAAAAGCCAAGTTAATTGCATGGAATCATCAAGAGTTGAACTAATTTAACAGCAAATATCTCACTGACTTCCTCCAGATGTTTCCAGCTGATGGTTTTAGCCTTTTTGTAAGTTGCATCCCTGTTGCTGCACTTACCTTCTACTGCCTTTAAGAAACTGAAGGTAATTTAGAGTTTGCGCCTGATCTTTCATTCTCTGCATACCCAGTAAATAAATGGTATTTTTTTTGTATTAAATGGTATTTAATTGGTTCCCAAGAGTCACTTTCTCGTGTATCAGTAGCCTAAATCTGGTAAATCAGTGGAATTACTGTTTTCATTATGGCAAGAAAACCATGCCATTGTGAGACGTGCCAAGATTAATATTCTGCCTCTGCATGGCTGACCAGGTACTATTTGTTCAGGTATCTTCTGTTATGTGCCTCATATGCAATGTATCCTCACAGTATTTTGTGATTATATCTGGCTCTGAAGATAATTAAAACTATTAAAACTTCTTGCCTTAATGGTATTTTTTTATACTGCCATGCAGATAAGGAGTAGAAATCAAACAGGGACACTGTGAATGGCTATTGGGTTGGCTGTTTAGGAGATCTGTGCTCAGTTTCTATTTTTTGGCTGAAATTTGTAGTCTGCTGGGCAGTGACTGTGCTTTAGCCTGGACATGCTTATGTCACACAGTAGGGCCATGAGCCCTCAAGCAACAAATGTAACAGAAAAATCTTCTTTACTCTAGGCCAAAAGTCACATTAAGTCAATTGTCCATACATAATCTGAAGGCCCAATTTTGTTTTCACATGAAAATTAATATACAGATAAGATTCTGGGGATAACAGATGTGCTGACAGGTTTCCTTCACTGATCGACCCTTTAAAAAACTATATCTCACTGGCATTGCACTTCACCCTATGCTACTCCTGGAATTTTTTATTATCATCAGACCAAGAGACATAATATTTTTAGCTTTCTAAAAATACCCCAACAACTCTTTCCCCACAAAAGACCTCAATATATCAAGATTTAATTATGATTTTAAAATTACAGAGATAGATGATGTAAAATGACCATTCCCCAAAAGTCTTGAAAAACACAATTTACCAAATTTACCAAATAGA